AACATCAACGGCGTGTTCTTCTTGTTCGCTGGGTTGTGCTGCATCTGCGGGATTTTCGTGTACTTCTTCTGCCCGGAGACGAAGGGCTTGATGCTTGAGGACATCGAGGTACTCTTCCACAGCGAACAGCCCAAGTCACCTGCTTTCGTGGAGGTAAAATCCCCGCAGCAGTCAATGGCTTGATACGATATCGCTATGAATTGATGAACTACATGTAGCAGCAAGTTTGTTTATCTCAACCATAATACCTGAGTTTCTATTGTTATTTTTTGCATGCTTGAAAACAATACTAAGGTTGGGCGTCTGAAAGCATCCGTCCAGCGAATAGTTGGTAAGCACATGAAATTCAGTAAGAAAAATATTTAGTGAGGTGCTATATAGCAGAAAAGTCGCAGAACAAACGTTGGGCAACACCAGCCTATCGATCCACGTTAAATGCATTTGGGTAGCTTCAAACTAACCGGTTTCACATGACCACATTCGCCGTTTGTCTGAGTCGCCAGCGCATGCTGGGCTTCCCGACGCCTACAGCCTTTCTTCTAAGCCGCAAGACTGCCGCTACAGCTGGGTGATAACCAATTTGCCAGCAAACAAACCAGCAAACACTCACTTTTTCTCCAGTATCAGCAACAATACTCGAATGTGGGAGCAAAGTGATCAGCTTCATTGGGCTAACAAGCTGGTCCCGCGAGTGCCTGCGCTCGCGTTGCGTGTTGAGGTCGTGGTGGGTTTGATTCGCTTGGAAAAAGACTTAACCTTTATCCCCCAATTAGCCCACCGGTACGCTTAGCAGCCTACCGGTAGGCTCAACTTCAAAAATAGATTTTGGGTCGTTAGAAGTGTTCTGAGTAGTCGTCGATAGCTCATGGCAAAGCTGAAACACCAGTCAGCATCATAGTTAGTTTTCAGCCTCAACACACCACTCCTTTATGGGGAAAATCACAGTTGGATGCAGAGTAAGAGGAAAGACAAAGAAGTATCAAGGTAAGGTTGGTGTCGTATCCACTGTGCACCGAGTGTCACGACAACACTCCTACGATGTCACGTGGACAAATGGCTCGCGAGACACGGTAGCAGCCCGAGCTATAGAGCTCGAGCGACGAGCAAGCTCAGAAAATACACTTCATGAACCGCCAAATCTGATGCAAGATCCGGCATATACTTCGTTCTCAGAGCTTTTGCGCGAGTCGAATGCTGCAATTGTTGCCGACTTTAGCTCTTCATCTAATTCTTCTGCAGCAGAAGATACAAATGCGAGCAGCAGCTCAGATGAACAAGAAGAGGATGACACAGTTATTGCCCATGGTCGCCGTTGGAAGCCATGTCATTCTGTGTTATTTGATCAAGGATCTCACGTTCAGCCCCGCCCCACACGATTCTACATGGGTGCTCTCGATGGCAGTACAATTGCAAAATACTTCTATCTAATGTACCCAATGCCCACGTTGAAATCCACGCTTGCCTGCACTAACGCAAACCTGGCGATGCAAAGTCACCGGCAAATCAAGGTGGGCGACTGGTTCAAGTGGATTGGTCTGCGATTAGCTATGGCTGTCGAGCCTCGATCAGGCCCTCTTCGCGTCTATTGGGAATCTGAATGTAAGGAGGGCTTCGTTGGAACACCAGCCAACTTTGGCCAGCGCTATGGCATGACACGACATTGTTTCGAGCAGGTTTTGTACTGTATGTCCTTCACAAGCGACCCCACTGCCGAAGACCCCTGGAAACCGATACGACCGATAGTAGATGGCTTCAATGAACGGCGAAAGCGTGTAGTAAATCCAGGAAACATTCTGTGCATCGATGAGTGTATGAGCGCCTGGAAAGGTCGAGAAAGTAAGTACTGCCATGATGGTTTGCCACACAAAACAAAGATCGCAAGGAAGCCGGAAGGCAAGGGTACGGAGATCAAGTCTATCGCTGATGGACAAAGTGGTGTACTACTCGGTTTAGAGCTTGTTGAAGGTGCTGATAGACAGCGCGAAAAACTGTATGCACGTGAGTATGGCGAAGGAACGTCGGTAGTACTTCGCCTTTCAGAACATTACCGGGGAACAGGTCGCACCATTATAGCGGACAGTGCTTTTGCATCCGTGAAAACTCTCGTTCAATTGGAAAATCGACTGGGCTTACTCTTTATGGGGATGGTCAAAACAGCTTCAGTTGAGTACCCTAAAAAGCATTTACTAGAGTGGTTCAATACGGCACCCCGTCGAGGCGATTTCAAGGTATTCTCGAGTACTACAGAGCACGGCAACCAAATGTATGCTATTTGCTGGGCTGATCGTAAACCAATGACTATCATTTCCAACCGAGGTACAACGCTACCCGGGAGTGATTCCGTTCGGACACGGCATCGACTTATTGAACGGAATGGTCTCGTTGAGACAATGCGTTACGAAAAGCGAATTTCCCGTCCACAAATGGTGGAATTGTTCTTCTCTGACTTCTCTACTATTGACATCCATGATCATTACCGCCAAGGGAGTTTAGCAATTGAGCGTGAATGGATTACACGGAATTGGACACACCGCCTTTTTGGTACTATACTCGGAATGATTGTTGTCGATGTTTTCCTGGCGTATCGCTACGATATGAGCAACAGAGAGCAAGTCGACGGGGAAGATTGCAGTTTCCAAGGGTTTGTGTCTCAGTTGGCTCATCAGTTGATATTCAATGACTACGAGGCTGTCAGAACAACGCGTAGCGGTACCGCAGAAGTAGCGGAATGTGACGGTGAACCCACCCACGTCATCAAACCATTCATCAAGCACCCTCGTTATGCTTCAGCGCGAACCCAAGGCAAGAGGGTTCAACGAGTCTGTGGTATGTGCAGCACAAAGTCTTCATATTACTGCGTAAACTGTTCACAGCCCGACTCGAACTCGTTTTTCGGCATATGCGGACCCCGTTCTGGTCGAAAGTGCTTCAGTGATCACATCACTTCAACTTCAATTTGACTTTTCTACGTAACACAACAGTCCATTTCATGCAAACCACATGCTTCTCAATACAAACCTTTATATAAACTAACTGAGGTGGCGCGTACGAGTAGGCTTTCATGACTGCTACCGGTAGGCTTTTGACCTGGGGGATAAAGGTTAAGGCTGAAAGAATTAAACGAATTTAAGTTTAAGTTCTGATCACATCAAACAAGTCGTTTTTTATCGGACGTTTTATGACCACCTACCCGTAAGTATAAAAATGTCTCGTACCAGTTATGAAAGGCACCCAATGCCAAAAATGTTTCCATTAAGTATGATCTTTTTGAGCGGGCTTTTCTCTCATTTCAGGAAAAGAAGCAAGGAGAGACAATGAAGTTAACTCTGTTTTGTTTGCTTATCAATGCGACCGATGCTACTCCGTTTTCAGTCGACATGGATGAGACGAAGACAATCGATCATGTAAAGAATGCTATCAAAGCGAAGGAGGAGATCCTAGTGAAGGCGTCCTCTCTGCGCCTGTTCCTCGCTCGCAAGGACGACGAGTGGCTGTCAGCGACGGACCCGAACGTGGAGCTCTCAAAGACGGATGAGATAGACAAGACGTGGCTAGAGCACGAACTCAACCCCACTGAGTTACTGGAAGACGTTTTCGAAAAGGATAAGCTCGGGAAGAGAGTCATCCACGTGCTCGTGCGTGTCCCGGAAGAGCTCGAAGCGGAGATGAAGGTGAATATGGTTCGTAAGGCGTTGGCGATAGCTCAAGCGAGTGAAAAAGCGCTGAGCATTACCAAGGAGGCTAAAGCGAAGCTGCGCAAAGTTGAGGAGGAGCGGAGGAAGCAGGAAGAGGAGCGGAGGAAGCAGGAAGAGGAACAGCGACGCATTGAGAATATGCCAGCCAAGCGCAAGCGCGATTGGAACGAGTTGAACAAAGTCATAGAGAAGAAGCGGGGCAGGGATGGCAGCACGGGGTTCTCATCGGTGGAGTACGAATCGCTACCAAAACGCTTTCGCCCCAGTAGAGAAAATGAGGTGACGGAAGGGCCGTTCTTCGACTTGCTGCACAGCGAGGTAGCAAAGACGTCCGTCGACGATGCTACTTTGGATTTTATTGTGAAAGTCCTTCGAACGAAGCTGTTGGCGTACAAGAGCTCGGAAGTGAACGAAACGACGCGTGTTCAGTTCATGGGAGCTATCTTCGAAAACGTGGTTTGCATGTTCGATGAAGAGGATCGAAAGCGGGATCCTGAAGACCGTACTCAGCTCCACATTGAGTCGAAGATGGTTGGTCAATACGTAAAAGCAAATGGTACTGTCGACTTTCGGATCACACGTGGAACCAAGATGGTCTGCGTCATTGAAGCAAAGGACGATGATTTCAAGAAGGGCTCTGCGCAGAGCATTTTGGCATGGAAGTGGCTGTAGACAACAATAATGAGGAGTGCGTGTACGGCGTCGTGACCAATTACTCCGGGTGGCGGTTCCTGAAACGCACGGACGAGAAGATCGAGATGTTTCGAGACGTGATTGGAAACGACAACCTGCGCGACGACGTGAAGCGGGTTTCCGGTCGGTTGTACGCAATGCTGGCAAATTAATACTGCGAAAATATCTCCTGTCGGTCCAGTGCAAGTCTTCGAACGAGAGCTCGCGCGCTACTGCACGGTGATACCATTCGCCGAGTATAGCAAAGTCCACTTCGGGTGACATTTTCACCGCAATCCGTAGTACGATGGTGAAGCGCTGATTGTAGCGCTAGTTGTTGTGAGTGTGCTATATGTAAAGAAAAGGAAACAGCAATGCCCTGTGTGCAGCACCAAGAGCCTTCCTTGCTCGTTTGGTCGATTATTCTCGTGTTGATGGTTTCGACTTCTCGGTCGGTTTTTTATTGGAGTGCATTTTACTTTCAATTTAGCTTCGCATATTTCCTCTTATGACAAAATTCGAATGTTAAAATTTTGCGCACCTTTAACTAGTTTCAGCGCCTTTAACGAAAGTCATCACATGCAACTTAAAGGTGCTTGAACGACTTTCCTTGGCCACGGCTTGGCCGCGAAGCTGAATACACCAAAATCTTCGTGTTCCTGCGGTATGCAGCTAATCAATGCGACTCCGGCACGGCTTATTGAGCAATGCTCAGAGAATCTTGCATCGAGGCATCGAAATTTGCCGGTGATTTTGAACAACGGTGTTGTTTCCTGAAGTGCTTAGCTTCTGGTATAATAAAATGTCGTTCTGTTCCCGTGGAAAATGAATGCACTGTAAAACAAGCGTTTACATCTGGGTCACCCATGAACATAACGGAGACGAAGCATCACATGAAGTATTTATCAGATTCGACGCAGATTCGATGTGCGTGTTTCAACCGATATAGCACAGTGGGAAACGCCAGTGGATCTACATGAGCTTTCCACATTGAGTCGAATGACAGACCTTCCGCCGTCCCCACTTCAGGATGGCAGTCGAGAATTCTCCAGCCGCAGATCAAGAAGAACTTCCACTCATGACGACTACGACAGCCCCGACCGAAGTGGCAGTAATAACCATCAGCACTACCGAGCGCAAGGATGTTCAGGAGGAATTCGGACTTCTCGAACTGTACGACAAAATGACATTCACGCAGAAGATCGTTATCGGCCTGTTGTGCAGTGTCGTGGCCCTCGAAGGAATCTACTTGTTCGCGCTCGTCATCAAGTACATCGCCGAGTGGTTCATCCTGCTTCTGGTGGTGACTCGACGAGCGAACCAACTACGAATTCAACTCTAAGTTGTCCGTGAAAGAACACTGAACTGCAAGTGTTCCAATGATATTAACGCGAGAAGAAACATCATAACTATTGAGTAAAATATCTGTATCTAACCTCGGCTTATCTTCATTAAAATGTCCAAAACTACCCCGACAACCCTTGCAAGGCAGAGGGTTTCCGTACTACAGCACTCGAGTAATACAGCCGCCTCCCGCACGGCGCTGTCGAACCCGAGCGACATCTATTTTAACATCGGTCATTGGTTAACCACATGAACAAAAAAGCCCAGTGAAGTCGTGAAGGAAAAGCAGTCTGCAAAGTCGAAGCGCCAGACGCAAAGCCTCTGCAGCTTTGCAGTCAGCTTGCTGGTTACGTCGAGTAGTTCACCAACAGCATCTTGATTTACTCGTAGTCCGATAGAGGCGGGCAGCTGCACACGAGGTGACGGTCACCGTGCACGTTGTCAACGCGGCCGACGGACGGCCAGTAGGTCTTGTTCTTGCCTCCCTGGTGCCACGGCGCGGGGAACGCAGCCTGTTCACGCGAGTACTTGCGGTCCCAGACACCGGCCGTGACCTGGTCCACCGTGTGCGGCGCGTGCTTGAGTGGCGAGTCCTCGACGGCGATGGCGCCCGTAGCGACGTCCTCAATCTCGCGACGAATAATAGCCAAAGCCTCGCAGAAGCGGTCCATCTCGGCCTTGCTCTCACTCTCCGTGGGCTCAATCATGAGCGTGCCGGGCACGGGCCACGACATGGTGGGGCTGTGGAAGCCAAAGTCCTGCAGACGCTTGGCCACGTCCTCCTCCACGATGCCAAGCTCCTTGAACGGGCGCATGTCGATGATGAACTCGTGCGCGCACGTACCGTTGGCACTGCGGAAGACAACCTCGTAGTGGCTCTCCAGCTTCTTGGCCATGTAGTTGGCGTTCAGAATGGCCGTGGACGTGGCCTGCTTCAGGCCGTCCTCGCCCAACATGTTGATGTACATCCAAGGGATCGGGAGGATACCGGCACTGCCGAACGGCGATCCACTGACAGCCGAGTCCGTCTTCTTGACCGTGTGCTCGCCCTCACCACCCGTAGGCATGACCGTGTGGCCCGGCAGGAACGGGGCCAGGTGGGCCGCAACACCGATAGAGCCGACACCGGGACCACCGCCGCCGTGCGGGATGCAGAAGGTCTTGTGCAGGTTCAAGTGGCAAACGTCAGCGCCAATGCCACCAGGGTTGCACAATGCCACTTGGGCGTTCATGTTAGCGCCATCCATGTAGACCTGAGCGCCGTGCGAGTGGATGAGGTCCACCATGTCCTTGATACCCGGCTCGAACATACCGAAAGTCGACGGGTACGTGATCATAAAGGCACTGAGGTTGTCCGAGTGCTCAGCAGCCTTGGCTGCCAGGTCCTCGCGATCCACGTGGCCATTCTCGTCCGACTTCACGACCACGACCTTCATGCCGGCCATCACAGCACTGGCTGGGTTGGTACCGTGCGCAGACACTGGAATCAGGCACACGTTACGGTGGCCCTGGCCAATGGAGCGCTGGTAGTTGCGGATGGTCAGAAGACCAGCGTACTCACCCTGGGCGCCACTCTGCGGCTGCGTAGACACGGCGCTGAAGCCCGTGATGACGGCCAGCGAGTGGTTCAACGACTCGATGAGCTCACGGTAACCAGCACTCTGTTCCTCGGGCACGAACGGGTGAACGTTAGTGAACTCCGGCCACGAAATAGGGGCCAGCTCGGACACGGCGTTCAGTTTCATAGTGCAGCTTCCCAGCGAGATCATGGAGCGGTTAAGGGCCAAGTCCTTGTCCTCCAGCTGCTTCAGGTAGCGGGTGAGCTCCGTCTCCGAGCGGTACTTGTGGAAGATGTCGTGGTCCAGGTACGACGTCGAACGGCGCAGCCCCTCCGGAATGCTCTTCTTCTGGATCTCCTCTGCACGAGCACCGAGGGCCTCGGCCAGGTCCTTAGGAAGGCTCTCCTCGGCTCCGAACGCTAGCAGCAGCTTCTCCAGGTCCTTCAGGTCGACGCTCTCGCCCATCGATACACCCACACGCTTATCGTCAATGACACGGACGTTCACTCCGCGCTTCGTGGCTTCAGCGGCCACGTCGGCAGCCGACGTACCCGACTGCGACACATCAATCTCCAAAGTGTCGAAGAAAGCGTCGTTAACCACCTTGCACTTGGGCGCGAACTTCTCCAGGCCAGCGGCCAGGGTGGCCGCGTACAGGTTGGCGCGCTTAGCGATAATGTCCAGTCCGTCGGGGCCGTGGTAGATGGCGTACGCAGCAGCCATGTTGGCCAGTAGGGCCTGGGCCGTGCAAATGTTGCTAGTGGCCTTGTCACGACGAATGTGCTGCTCGCGAGTCTGCATGGCCATACGCACAGCCGGCTCTCCACGCGAGTCAACCGATACACCGATGATACGGCCGGGCATCTTGCGGTGGTATTTCTTGGTCGTGGCCAGGAACGCAGCGTGTGGGCCACCGAACATCATGGGCACACCGAAGCGCTGGGCCGATCCCAGAGCAATATCGGCGCCCCATTCGCCGGGCGGAGTGAGCTGCGTCAGACTCAACGGGTCCGTGGCGACGGCCACCACGAGCTTGGACTTGTGGGCCTCGTCCACGAAGTCACGGTAGTCGTTGACGGCACCGAAAGTGGTCGGGTACTGCAGCAGCACACCGCTGTATCCCTGGTCCTTAAGGTCAAGATCGGTCTTGGGGTTTCCCACCACGAGCTCAATGCCAAAGTTATCGGCTCGCGTCTGCATCATGCCGATCGTCTGTGGGTGGGCATCCTGGTCCACAAAGAACTTGGTACGCTTGCCGTTGAAGTTGCCGTGGGCCAGGGCCATGGCCTCGGCGGCGGCCGTGGCCTCGTCCAGCAGCGAGGCGTTGGCGTATTCGAGGCCGGTCAGGTCCAGGATCATGGTCTGGAAGTTGAGCAGCATCTCCAAACGACCCTGGGACACCTCGGCCTGGTACGGCGTGTAGCTCGTGTACCATCCCGGGTTCTCCAGGATGTGACGCACGATGGGGGCAGGCGTGTGAGTGTCGTTGAAGCCCATGCCGATGAAGGACTTGAGCGTCTGGTTCTTGGCCGCCAGCACCTTGAGCTTGGCCAACGCCTCGCTCTCGCTGAGCGGCGGCGGCAGATCCAGCGGCTTGTCTAGACGGATCTCGGTCGGCACAACAGCGGCCACCAGATCTTCAACACTGTCGAAGCCCACAGTGGCCAGCATGGCCTTGCGGTCCTTCTCGGACGAAACGCCCAGGTGGCGATGCAGGAAGGCGTCAGCCGGCGCGTAGGAGCTCGTGGCCATGGCGCGCGCGGCTACGGCCCGGGCCAGCATCACGCGACGCACCGACAAGACGCGCTGGAGCAACATTCCACTTGAGAAAGACGTTCAAACCACGGCGCAAATACGCGAGTGCGTGTTGCAAGCCAGCCAAAGGAACAGGATCTTGACGTCCTATCCTAACCATAAGCATCTCCGGCATCCAATCATGACACACGGGAATTTTGGGATCGGGCGCCCCGCGAAACCATTCTCTAAATATCAAATGTAGAAACCGGGAAATCCTCTCTTAGCAAATGTAGGAGGAGCAACGGTATACCGGTAGTTTCTCTAGATTTTCCGAACCAATAGGAAGACGCGGGCTGCCAAAATGGGCCCAATGGTGGCACGGCTTCTACGGCGCCAACGATTGGCAGAAAATGAAACCTCCTGGTTGATGCTCATCAACTGATGTGCATCAACTCGACCGCCCGCTTCATCGACGTTCCCGGCCGTTCTTGCTGGCACAGTAGCGACCAGGTGCACTTCACTGCAACTGTATTGCATCACTCAAACTAATGGTCTACAAGGGCGCAAAGTTCAAGGTAGGGTTGGACTGGTAGAGCAATTCCTTCACGGCCACGTAGTCAAAGCTGCCAGACTGCAGGTTCAACACCACTCGCGCAACACTTCTTGTAAACTTTGGCACACGGTCCATGTCTCTCTTGCGTCCATCGCGCCGGATCTTGCCTTCCCAGCCATTTGAACCGCATAGTGTGAGCCACCTCGACTCCGTCAGAATCAGAGGCTGGTAGTGTTTGCCTCCTGCAACAGGATCTTCAATGGACGTGAGGAATGCAGACAGCTTCTCGTAGCTCTTCTGTGGCTGTAAGTATTGAAATCAAACAAGCGTTAGATGTACCATAAGAAGTCATTTCTACTGCAACACGCACCCGAAACCATAATACCATCCCAGCTTCTTCCTTGAGTGTCAACATTTCCAGAAAGTCTTGCTCAAAGCACATGTACCTGTAGTCGAAGTGTTGCTTCTGTAGAATATTGTGTTTATCGAAAACCCTGTTCAGATACGACGTGAGTATAGCTGTCTAGAAATTTGGTGATATGGTAACGTACCATTTCCGCTCGGTGTCGAAGATAAACAGCGCTGGTTCCAGTACATCGCGAGGTACGAGCTGATACGTTCGTTCCAGCTCAGCAATGGACAGGAACACAGTGCGGTTCGCACATGATGCAATCGGCCATTTAGCAAGTGACGGCGGTCGCTCGATCGGATGCTCACTTGGTGTCAAGTAACTTCGACTTTTCACGCGCTGTTGGTGTAAGTGTGCAAGTTCTTTTGTGATCGACTGCACTTGCTCAGTTTCCTCCTTCCTGGTAGCTTGTTGTAGTCGCCGCATACGGCTTTCCTTCATTATCAACGTCTGCAATCGTTGCATCTAAATGCCAAGAATTACTTAAAAAGTATCTACCGTATTAGAGTCTTCAAATACTCACCAATTGTTCTGGTTGTAAGTTGATCTCATACGCATTACGTGATTTGAGCTCAACGCGTAGCTCGCTAGTCGACATGGCCCATGGATCGCAGATTCGGCCCAAAGACGCGAAGCGCAGATAAATGGTGTCGTTGTTCAGAATATCTACGAATTATGAACCTTTAGCTGACCTTTTCACGAATACAAATAAATGACTTACAGTAGCCATCCAGCGTTCCGTCTAGACGAAGTATTCGGCCTTTGAAAGTGTAGAAATGCTCGTCGAGAGGGAGTTTGGCAAACGGACTCTTGGAGATAGTCCATTGACTCACGATAAACCGTTGCAAGTCCTCAATTCTTGCCGAAGGGAGCACAATTGCTGGAAACTTTTCTTGCTTAAACACGGGCGTGTTCACGTTGATGGGAGCTCCACCGTTTGACTTATCGTTGCTACTTTCGTCCGGTATAACTTGACAGGTAGCCACGAACACTTTGAACTTCTCTGGTGACTTGTTTGACGCCCGCTGCTTTGCCAGAGTCTGCTTCGGAGCATCCATCGCCCAAAAATGATTCCTATCCTATAAACGCCGATGCTTGATCGGAAGCGACACCAAAACGACGATGCTGCCCCAAATAGTGTCACGCATAAACCAACCCATGTAACTAGAAGATGCTTGATTGACCTAATATGACGCCTAACTGAAGCCGCAGGAGACAAGGTGCAGCTAATCTGACCAGACTGGGCTAAATCGTCGCTTCTTAGCTGATCCAGATCGCACGAATGGCGACAAATACCACGAGTGCGAAGATGAAGACGAACACGTCGTCCAGCGACTTGCGGCCCTTCACTAGGAACTCTACTCCACGAACAAAAACGCAAAATCTATCATCAGATTCTCGAATCCATACCCCACAAATCCACTAAACTAAACGCACCTTTCAGCACCGGTCGACTCGACAGCGCCATATTCGCCAAGAACCCCAAATCTCCTTCCTGCGGGCTCTTCACATCCGGTAGATCCAGCGCTTTATGCACCGCCTTGGCGCCTGTGGACACCACCAATCTCACTAGCAGCACACACAACGCAATAGGTGGATTTGCCACCAATGACGTGAAGAAGAAGCCCAAATCTGCCACATCCGGTAGCCATCCTGAACTGGTCGTTGTCGTCTCCATGGCCTCCATCTTCAGCTGCTGAGTCAGTAAATGTTCGAGCTTCTGTCTCACTGCAGGCGCCACTTGCTCACGCTCAAACTGCTGTCTAATGGACTCCATAGGGACTCCTTTCGTGATCAGGTCCTGATAACTCACGAACAACTGGTCGTCGGCAGCTAAGCTGGCCGCAATGGATCGCAAGTCCATGCACATGGCAGTGTAGACAGCGGCCGCCACTATAAGCAGCAGCACCAGCTTCTCCTCGAGTGAATGGAGCTTCAACGCTGTCGTGTGGCGACTGAACATCGGCTCAGTAGCAGTAGAGGGCGCTTTCAGAGCCTCCAGCACCTTCTGGGGCTTCTCCTGGTCGGTGGGTGTCTCCTCTTCCTTTACCTCATTAGCTGGTGCGTTGCTGCCCAGCATCTCCTGTACCATTTGTTCCTTGCGACGACGTCTAGCAGCCGCATCCCGACGTCGCTGGGCCGGGTCAACACGCGGTGGGATCTTGAGCTCAGTCGGTGGATCGGCGGGGTCCGAGTCGGACGCAGCCACCAGCTCGTCCACACCATCGTCCAGTTGCTGTTCCAGCGACGGCGACTCGTTGGTTGGTGTTTTGAGGGACGAGATCTGTCCTTTCAGCAGCTTTAGACGGCTCTCGCCATCCTGGAGCACGCGGGCGCGGCGGGCAGCACGCTTCTCCGCTGCGGTGAGTCCACGCTTAGTCGGCTCATTCTCCATGATCGTTTTTTGGCGCAATACCAGCCTAAATTCTGGCAGCAACAGAACTACAGTAGCTGACAGAGCATAAAGCCATTATTAAATTTGGCAGCTCCGTTTTGAAGCCCAACTCTCCATCACAAGAAAAATAAGTCTGGTCAGTTCAATACAAAGCAGCGTTAACCTGGTACTATAGAGCTACGCAAGTACAGGTCAATGACCGAAGCGATGCTATTCTGCAGCGCAAAACACAAATCTTACACGGCTTCAAAGTCGAAGTTTCAGCTAGCCCATATGGATTGGCTATTAATTGCACCGTACACTCTTCCGAAACAACCAAACGCTTCATCAATCAATTGCAGCAAATTTTGACGGAGAACAGCGGCTTACCGACAGTGGGCCTAAGTCTGTCTAATACCCCGATGAATGGGCGGTTCTTGCGGAAAAAAAAGGCTGTTAGGGTCGTGCGGACCATGTGCGTTGAATCAACTCACACCCAAAGAAGGACAACAGCCTTACGCATGACGAGCGGTACCAGAACGTTCTCGTTTTGAGTGACGGGGTTATCGTGGACAACAGTTTGCTCCGGTTCTGCTAGAGAGAGGAGACATTTTCCACTAATGTGTTAGTCTATCAACTACCACGTGACAATATACCTACCCTAGAAGAGAACTGCTCTGGGTTCCGGCAAAACAAGCCCACTGTTTAGAAACATATTCTAATCGTGAAAAGGTCGCTGTTGGAGGCCAGGATTATTAATAATGGATCGTACACGATTTGATCCATGATTAATCCTGGATCTATCTTAAATAAGTAGCCATATGGGGAAGTTATGGAAAGATATGGGAAGTTATTGGGAAGATACGTCGAGGACGAGAAAGATATAAATGTGTGCTGGTCGGTGATCCAGGATTAATACTGTACATGAATCATGGGAAAATCATGTACACAATATCATTTGTATGTAAAAGTCCATGACGTGTATTAGATCATGTACTGCCGACCAACCCTTGAGTTACTACTGAACTTGAGTGGGAGGTAATTCCTCGTCGTTACTGTCTTCATCTATGGCATGGAGAGCAGACAGTTTTTCCTCTGCTTCATCACCTCGCGGAGCTTGTACTGGTAGAAGTTTCCCTGTGAGCAAAAAATAGAACAACTCGAATCGACGCTTCGTGAGTGATTCCAAGCTCACTTTCAGGTGCTGTCCGGTTATGACATACCTGATGAACATCCAACAGACGTACACACCGCAACTGTGCCCGTCGAACTGGGTGGGATTATTCATCGATATCACATCGTATTCTCTCAGTCCATCTCCAGGCTGGTGGCCACGGCGTTAGCTGCGTTCGTGTACTGCGCTTGGTTGAGAGGATCATAGTAGTATATACGCTTTTTCTCCACTTTGACGACCACACAGCACCAGTGGTAGTTTGAAAAGTTCAACGGCAGCATGACGGTATCCACTCCATCTTCATTCACTTGCTGTAGCACACGACCACGTGTTGCGTCGTCAAGGCAGCGCTCGCCAGGATTACGCGTTCTCTTGCCCTTCGTAAATGCTGCCTGGAATCCAGCGAAACGTAATCCTGGACTAGACGTATACACAATCCATTTGATCATAGCGTCAGTGAGCCAGGATGGAGGTGCTGCTCTATAGAGCCCTGTGTATGCGAAGTCCGGGACACCCGGAAGACCCTCTATACGCTTGTAAGGATAAGACACCATTACTGCATCCGCCATTTGTTGAGACAGCGACTGGTAATCGGCTGGGAGTGCAGGTGCTGCTACGTCCACGAGCCACTTGTAGACATCAATGCCCAGCTCGACGAATTCTTTCAAGATTTGAACTCTCTTGAAGGTTTCAAGCTGTTTTCTGCTGAAGTATCCGACGTCCTTGATTACCAGAGTCTCTACAGGCGCCTTGTCCGTGTGCGTGCTTGAAATTTGGCTTGACTGCGAGTCGTCCACAGAGATAGCAGTGGCCTTCGTGTTGGAGACGGCCAGCAGCTTCACACAGGCGTCCAGAAGCTTTGTTGGAAGTAGGTAGAAGGGATCCATTGTTAAAACCGGGTTTTTCATGAGTTTCAGCTTCGGTTTCTTCTTTTCAGCATCTCCGTATTTCACGATAATCCCCGACAGACGTTGCTACGTCTCCATGAGCCCTGGCTGTTCTCTATCAAATGAATCCACTAGTGAAAGAAGGGTTACTTCACCAGCCTGTGCACGTGCGGCTTCTGTTGCTTCGTACCACTTACCGTCCTTCTTCTCCCCAGCTTGAGCCTTCTTTTTCACTTTTTGAGGTCGTCCAACCTTTGTGCTTTGAGATTAAGGCGTATTTCCACTCGAGTCTTGTTCTATGGCTCCGACTCGCCCTCAGTGTCACCTTCTACACTGTTAGAACTTCCGTCTTCCTCATCACTGCTGCTGATGTTGAACTCTTCTTTACTAAGGCGTCATAATCACGATCTCGTTTGTTTACCTCCTTGATACGTCCAGATTCGTCTCCAGAGATATTCTCAGAGACAGACAACATTTTCTTCTGGCGTACGTTGCACCACTGGGCCAGGACAAAAGTCAGCATTTTATCGAACTCATCTTCGCCCTCAATGTCAGCCAACTCGTTGGCAATGAGATGTGTGGCTCTCACTGCTTCTCTGTATTGCTCCGACTGTGATTTCAACATTTTCTGCTGGGATCCTCTGCCTCCGGTCGCAAACGTCTCGTTGGTGAACTGTTTAACCTTCTTCAGATCTTGAGAAAGTGTCGTCCGGCTAAAACATGTACGCAAACAGGATTAATCATGGATAAAACATGTTGTAAAATCATGGTCAATCCAGGATTAAATCAAAGAAAAATCATGGAAAACTGAAGACTCACCGTTCGTCTATGCGATTCGAAGGTATAACAGGTCCCGGCACTTCCTTGTATTTCCGGTACGCTATAGCATGCCGGCACGGAAGACTCATTGATGCCGAAAATTCACAGTCGCAACGCCAGTCGTCAAGACTAAAAATGTGTTCTGAAAAAAATCACGCACGAAAATCTGATGTGGATCCTCATCACAGCCGTCGAACCTGTACTGGGTCGCTGTCTCAAGTCCTTTAGCGTACTGTCCCTCAATCTGTCCAGCAACGTAGTGGGTCGTGAAGCGCAGCACATTCTTCATCTCCTCGTCGTAGTTCGCGTTAACGAAATGGCCGATCCTCGTCACTCTGTACTGGTATTCGCTCTCCTTACGACGGTCATATCCTTCACACGCTGCGCCATTGTCATAGATCCATCTACTCCATCCTTAAGTTTGCCGAAGAAGCTCTACAAAAGGTTGTTTGCATGATTCTTGAAGTGAGATAAGTGCGCGCGCAAATAATAGACCCAACGATCTTTGCATGAGTCCCAGTTTTTCTGGAAGTAAGCAAAAAAATCCATTTAATCCAACTCTGTCGCAAATTCCTTCGAGTGAACCATGAGCCTCCGCATAAATCACCTCACTTGCAGAATACACCATCCTATGAACAGCTGAGTCAAGCTGACTTGCATCTTCCGCAGCAATTTTGCCAAACTCCGGCTTCGATCGCATCTCTTTCAGGTATTTTATCACGTGAACGTGACAAATCAAGATTCTGGTTTCCGGGAAATTTGTTTCCAGAACGCGGATTTCGTTCAAGTCTTTATCCACCACAATCACGCGAAGCAAATGGATCCGCGTCGGGTGAGACCGTTAGGAGTGCGCAATAGCCCGCTCCATGTGCCAATCTCCATTAGCATCGATGAGTGACTGCTGCACAACCGCCCCTTCGCAAAATTCGTTCATTCCCATGAAAGTAAGGAGCCGGTAGTTGTACCTACCAATACAGAACCAAATACCAGTTAGAATCATGTATGAATACCGGATAAAAGGATGGACGAATCCTGAATAAAAATAAAAAATGAAATCCTGGAGAAAATCCTGGATATAATAAAAAAAATAATCCTGGAATAATCATGGATATTCTCCTGGATTAAATCCAATAATATAAATCCATGAAAAAGCATGGACAAAATACATGTTTAGGAATCCTGGACATAAAGATCCCACAAAAAATCCATACAAGAAAATCCTGGGATAATCCTGTATACAGATATAAAATCCTGGAGAAAAGCATGGATTGAAAATCCGACTCACCTGTTGATCTTGTGGCTACAATCCACGAGCAGAACCTCGCTGAACCACCCGTACATTCGCCTCATGTGCGCTGTTGCCAATGAAATCACGCCCGTTTCACCTGCATCTGTCTCTGATACAGTGGAAACGTTTTCGGGGTTGGCCGCAGCCAAAGCAGCAATTTCCCTTGCCGTCGCCTCGTTGTCGTCCTGCGTAGAGAGAGAGCCAGAATGGTCGCGAACTAGGTTATCCACGTCGACCTGGATCACGTTTTGGTCATGCTCCAGTAAGTAGTCGTAAATGCGAGAACGCTTAGCTCCAACAGACAGCATGCCTTCCACGCGAGCGGCACCCACAGGGTCCACAATTCCACGTGAAGTAGATTAGGTCGCATAAACAGTCGTAGATACTTGATGATTGTGCGTGTAAATTCCATTCTTCACTTGTGACTGGCAGGTATATTAGACTCTAAAGATTAACTATCAAGACGACCTCGACACTTGAGGCCGTCATAACCAGTGGATCTGTAATCAGCTCTGATTAGTCACCGCGATAGAGCGTTGGCGACTCGTGTGACAGTAGCCTGACACAACTAGCCCGGACAATGAACGAGCTGAAATGCAGGCCTAGCATAAGACAAAATTGCAATGAAATCCAGCGAATGGAACGCGATGGAAGACGAGAATGAAACTGAGCGTAACATAGTAACGACAGGAGTGTTGTTTTCTCAATCACCGCAGGGGCTTTGCCTTATTCATACCTGTATCATTACCAGTCCAATCTACAAGTGATATATTGATTGTATGCGTTGCTGATAATGGCGATTTTGCTAATCGACTTTGTTAGTGCGGACAGGACGAGCGACATCCTCGTCGAAGTATTATTAGTATCAGCTGTAACATTATTTCCTGGTTTAATAAGCTCATGGATATCGGATATCCTGGAAGCAATTGCGTTGGCGCTGCCGTTTTGATATATGTTGTGTTTTTAGTGATATAACGCTCGCTGTCTTCATGTAAGATATCTTGTCAGTGGCGGTGACGTTCACTGTCTCGTCTTGACTCTGCAGACCAGTGGCGGTATCGCTCTCTGATCTCGTGTATGTCTCTACTTCTAGCGGCGATGGCGCTCAATTTCCTACGACAAACGGCGTCGATACTCCTCATCTTCATGCAGACCACTTGGTAGCGGCGAATACGCTCACAGGCTTAGTGCCTTCATGTAAGATCTGCTGATATCGGTGACGACACTGACTGTCGCCCGGAAGGCTCTGTTGGTAGTGGCGATGACGCTCGCCGTCTTCAAATAGACTGT